AAAGCAGAGAGGCAGGGGACAGTTCAAGGCTCCTCAGGAGCCTGTTTCTCCAAGGCTGCCTGATTATTTCCAGCCTTGAGGCCCTCTAGCCTATTGGCAGGGTTATAGCTCCTGAAACCAGGCAGGGTGTTTCCCAACAATGCTGTACATCTAAAACTAATTTGAAATATATTGAATGCCAGCTGTAATTAAACATTTTTTAATTTAAAAATTTCATTAAAAAGTGACACAATTGCAGAAAAAATTTGGTACCCCATTGCCTGTAATAACTAGTTAAACCTCAAATTCCTCTTAAATGTAACTTTGTGAGGGGTCCAGAATAGATTTGGATAGTGTTTAGTCTACCAGAAGAGAGTGTTTTGTTGTTGTTTTTTTCCTTGAGAAGAGTCATGTCCTAAAACATGGACTGTGTTTTGGCAAAATTATAATTTATCTTTTGAAACTTTATGCCTATATTCTGCTAAAGATGAGAATAAATGGAATCCTCTCAGCAAAGTAGAACACCTTCTACAAATTGTGTAAGAACTGAATCACAAGGAAATTTTTGATTAAGTCTTTTTTAAAAAATTTTTATTTATTTATTTTTAGAGAGGGGAAGGGAGAGAGAAAGAGGGAGAGAAGCATCAATGTGTGGCTGCCTCTCAAGCGTCCCCTACTGGCGACCTGACCTGCAACCCAGGTAGATGTCCTGACTGGGAATCAAATTGGCATCCCATTGGTTCACAGGCTGGTACTCAATCCACTGAGCCACATGAGCCAGGGATGATTATTTAAGCCTTGATCAAAGACCTGGATAAAATAGCAGTAAGCTTCAGTCAACCCTGAAGGAATGACTGTCCAGAAGGACTGCTGTCCTCCCCAGATAAAAGCAAATAGCTATTGACCGTCATTATTGAACCTTAAAAAGAATGAAATTCTGACATATGCTACAACATGGATAAATTTTGAAAACATGCTAAGTGAAATAAGCCAGGCACACAGAGACAAATGCTGTATGATTCCACTTATATGAAGTACTTAAAGTAGTGAATTCATGGAGACAAAAGTTGAATGGTGTTTGCCAGGGTCTGGGAGAAGGGACAGTGGGAAGTTAGTATTTAACAGATACTGAGTTTCCGTTTAGGTAAGTGAAAAATTTCTGAAGATGGAAATTGGTGCTGGTTGCACAACAATGTGAATGTACTTGATGCCACTGAACTGTAAACTTAAAAATGGTTAAAATAATAAATTTTATGCACACGCACACACACATATACAAAGTTATTGACTGTCCTGTTCCATGAGCACACTGGAAAAAGCTGAGTAAAGATTCACTACAGCAAGGGGCTTCAGCAAGTGGTTTGATATGGGGGACTCCAGCCTACGAAGTCCCCAGATTTGCTGCGGATGGAAGAATCACTCCAGACTCAGTTTGCCTGTCAAGGAAGGGGGATGGTGATTCCCTCTAGTGGGGAATGCCCCGAGCCCCCATGCTCAATGGCTTTTGTTGAAAGGGTTACCAGTGGGGGATAGGTAGCAAGAATGTATAGGTAATCTAATTACATAAGTATGTTAATGTTTACAGAGAATAGGTGATGTTTGAAGACGACAAATGGCAAGAAACACATGAAATTGCTTGGTTCCAAGATGAGTGTAAACATAATGGTGCCAAATGATTTAGGGTCAGGGTTGATGAATAACGTAAATTTCCTTCCCAGCGTGAGCTGGTTATCTGGTGTGAGAATAACAGAGCTTGAGGGAGAAAGAAAGCATGCTTCAAGGAGTGTAATTTACTTCTAGGCCTGATTTCCCCCTGGGGGCCCTCAGAGCTATTATCGGGTCCTACCTATCAAGCGCATTACCAGTTTTCCTGCCAAAGACTTAAGTAGCCTCTCCCAGGCCCCAGCTTGACTGGGACTACAGTCCTCAATGCCACTCAAAGTGGCCCCCAGCAGTTTGCAGGATGGTATCTGAGTTTGAGGAAATGAGTAACAGTGATTTTGTTGGTGGCCCTTTAGTCTTAAATAAATGGATGTCCTTGTCCACTTGGTTTCTTTACCTCCAGGATGCATGTATTACAAGGGCTAAAGCAGGGCATGAGAAGACCTCTGGATCTGAGGCTTCAACTACAGGTTGACCCCCCTTCTTTTGCTTCTGGCTTCAAGGGATATTGGGGAGATTTGAGTAATGGTAGTTAAGCTCTATCTGAATTTTAACAGGTTCTGCTCCAATTATTTTTTCCTTATCAGTGTTGAGTACAGTGTCAAGTACTTACCTGGCATATGCATCAAATATAATAGAGAAAGCAAAGATATATACAGGACAGAATCAACTTGCTTATAAATAGAGGAGTCCTCTGGAATCTCACAAATAGCCCTGAATACTCTGATGTTCATTCAAAGTTGCAAAGACTCTCATTAAATTTGCAGAAAGGTGTCACAGAGCAAGAAAGAATGTTTTGCAATCACGGTTCCTGGGCTTACAGTTAAATGCTGGGAAACAGAGGAAAATCTGTGGATTATTTGAAATGTTTAATGCCTGTATCTGTTTATGTTTACTCCCAAAAAAGAGGCTGAGCAAAGATGGCAGAGTTTAATGCAGAAAGAGTAGTACTTGTATTTACCAGAAATTGACGAGGTTGAAATATATAATGGGTAGAACTCTGCCTAACCACAAAACATGTTCAAATTCTCACCCTTAGAACCATGAATTTGATCTTATCTGAAAATAGGGTCTTTGAAGATGTAGTCAGGATAAGATTATACTGGATTAGGGTGGTGTCCTTAGAAGGAGAGGGAAATTTGTACACAAAGAAAACACAGGGAAGAATACCATATAAAGATGGAGGTTGAGATTGGAGTGATACATCTATAAGCCTAAGAATGTCAAAGATTGCAGGCAACCACCAGAAGCTAGGAGGGTCAAGAAAGGATGCTTTTCTAGAGCCTTTGGAGGCAGTGTGGCCCTGCTGTGAGAGAAAAAATTTCTGTAGGAAGACAACTGAAATGAAAACAGGTTTGCGGTAGCAATGGAGTCAGGCCCCATCTCTTGCTTTTGGCAGAGACGCAAAGGAAGCCTAGAGGAGTGGGAAAGATTTGTAATTTTCTTTAAAGCATCAGATTGGAGATTTGAAAGGAAAATTTTTTCTTTTCCCAAGAAAAGCTACATTCTTCTGATATTATTCACGCCATAATTGTACTTTAGTATTTTCCCTAAGGGAATTACTAATTTAGAGGCCCCAGTAAGTCATCCATTATCTGCCATAAAATTTGCATTATGCATTATCTTCTCTCCAAATTCAAATTATATACATTTAATATTTGATTTGGCAGTCAAAATAACAGTAAGCTAACAATTTAAGTCCATTGATGGAACCTCAATTATTTTGAAAACAATTCTAATGGAGGAGTCAAATAACACTTTAAAAGAAATGACAGCTAACCTGAATCCTGCTGCTTTAATTTCATACCAAGTCCTGTGCTGGGAGAGGCTCTGAGTTGCTGTTTACTTCACCGTAAATTGAGTACCATAACCTACTCTGTAGACATGGCAGGAGACTTGCACAAGGCTGATATCTGTACTAGAGCAAAACCAGAAACCAGAGAGAAAGCTTAATTATGACAGACAGTAAATTTAACCAGACATGGTGTGTGCTTGAGGAGCTGGTCAAGCGGCAAAGATTTTAGACAATGGAGGGATTCTTGCATGTTCTTATTTTAATCAATTCAGTTCATAGATATTGGACACTTACTATGTGCAAAGTCCTGGGAGATGAAAAGACATGGTCCTTATCTTTAGGAGCTCACAGACTCATGGGATGTAAGGCTAGTGAATTCTTTACTCTTGGGCCAACTTGGGGGGAAGGGTTGTTAGGGACAAATCCTCTCCTCCTGGAATGCCATTTCTGTTGGACGCGCCCCACAGTCACCTTAGCCTTCTGTTCTAACTTGATGCACTTAATGATGACAGTGAGCTCCCACTGTCTGCTACCTGCTAGGCAAAACACCAAACACTGCAGATACAAAATTGTGTTTAATCCTCACAACGGAGTCATATTCTATTGTTACTGTCCCCACAAGGCAGCCGAGGAAACAGGCTTAGAGAACCTAAGCCCAAATAGCCTACCAAGGTAACTTGGTAAGAAAAGCAGAGCGGTGGGAAGCAGACCCTAGAGCCATTCGGTGTTGCTGCTCAGCGCAAAGCAAAGTATCATGGGGATATCCCTGGAATAAATAGTTGAATACTTTGAAGATGAATAGTTGAAGTTGAGCCTTTCTTTTTTTCCTTCACTAAATTCACACAATGTGACACCAAGAAGCCATTTCCCAGAATGTCTACTTCAACTACCTCATTTCACTTGTAAGGAAATTCAGGTCCAAAGAAGTCCAGTGACTACTAGCTTAAAGGTCACTGGCAGCCCAGGGCCCCTCGCTGGGGTCTCAAGATAAGTCCAGCTCTCGAGGATGCTCAGACACCTCTGGCAGCCTGTCAGTCCTAAGCTCAGTGGCCCACGCAGGCAGGCACTTATCGTTCTTGCCGGGTGCCAGGACAGAACACGGGGCAGGACAGCGCTGCCATTCTCGGGGAAATCTCTCCCTCCTGCAAAGTCAGCAGTGGGCCTGGACTGATATTCCTATCCCTGCAGACGACTGCTTGGGCAGGTTCAGCTTCCTGCTTCGGGCACTCTAACGCCACAAATCGCTTTTGGATCTACACGGACACTCACAGCACACACATATTTTTAACAGATAACAGATTAATTAATACTGCAGGCCACTTACTGAAATTTTCAAGCCCGGAATTGGGCTTGGGCGAGGGAATAGGCGGGGCTGGAGCACGCATGGGAGGGCCTGCGGGGAGTGAGCGGGGCTGGAGCCAGTGCAAGTCAAAGCCGCGGCTCCATTTCCTTACGCATGCCGGAAGTGGCGGTGGTGGGCGCGGCGGCGCAACCCCCAGGCGGCCGGACGTCTCTACGCTTGCCAGAAGGAGGCGGTGCGGCCGGGGCGCGGCGGCCGGGCGGCGGCCACTGTGCGCAGACTGTGAGCGCGGTGAGTACCCGGTCACCCGGTCCTGTCCGCCTGCGGCTCTGACTGCTCCGGCCCGGGCGTGGCTCGAGGGCTGTGAGTCTCTGTCCGGGTCGGGTCAACCTCGTGGGATTGCCTCACGGAGAATCCTTTCGAAGTCTTTTCTGTGTCAGGAAAAGCCGCGGGTTTTCGGCATGGTTTGAGTTTTGAGAACGAGGCTGCCAGAGATCGTTGATCTGCTTGTTTATTTTATCCATTTTTTTTTTTAACCAAGTGTTCTCGTATAGCAGCCGTTTGTGGCGGACAGCAGCGCTTTTGAAAGATGCACACTTGTGTGGGAATCTGAGGGCCGAGGAGACGGCGGAGTGGGCCGTTGGCATTTTCAGAGTTCATCTTGAAAATTACACTAGTTTGGAACGATTTGCTGAGGAATAATTTGTAAACGCAATAACGATACTTTTATCTGTGACGATGTTATTGGCAGAACGAAAATTTGATTATAAATCAAGATTTTATTCTTCATTGAGATAGATATATATATATATATATATATATATATATATATATATATATATACCATTCTGGACAGTTAACCATCATTGAAGGTTCTTAGGAGCAGGGCCTTAATTTCTGGTGGAATTAATGTTTTTTCATGTTGTATTAAAATAGTACTTTCGAACTGGAAAGTGAGAAACCAGGTGTTTTATGACTGAGAACGTTCACGTTCACTTTGTATTACTATTCTGATACCATTAGTTTAAAATTGTCATGTGACTAAAACAATGTAAAAAGGCATGTTGGATTTCCAGGATTTATAGCTCAGAGAATTTTGATATATATAAGCACGGATTTAGCTCCAACCAATTTGGAAATTACACTTTTTTCTCATCTTTTTTATTGAGGTATAAAACACATATGAAGTCACTAAGGGCATAAATATTCATTGTACAGCTCAATGGATTTTTTTGTATATTTATTAACTTGAGTGACCACCAACTAGGTCAAGTTTATATATATATATTTCTATCATCCCAGGAGTTTCCCTCTGCTGCTTCCAACTAAGTTAATACCCTTGTAATCAGTATTTGGATTTCAGTCTTTATTTACTGGTTTTGTCTATTTTGAGCTTCCTGGTAATGGAATTTTGCAGTATGCTGAACACATTACTGTGAGATTGATTCATCCATGATGTTTAATGTTACATGAAACACTAACATTCTATATTGCTGTGCAGAGTTTATTTGTGTTCATTACATGACTACTCTTCTGTTGATGGATATTATATTTGTGTTTCTAATTTTTGTATATTATGTATTTTGAAGACTACTGTGAACGTTCTTGTAACATCTTGGTGAACATCTGTGTCTGTTTCTGTGAGCTGTAGAATGACTGAATCATAAGATAGGCAGAAAATTACTTATAACATGAAGCTTCCTTTTTTATAAAAATAGAATCTCTTATTTTAACTTCTATAACATTAAAGATTAGTAAAAGGTATAACTATTATGATGTGAAGACTTAAGTAACTCATTATCTTATTATTATTTACTCCTTGGATTTTACTATCCAGGCTATCATTACTTCTTTAACTGTTTAATAGAAAAGTCTGTAAGAGCTGGTAATGGCCTGTCCCTGAAGTCTGTCCTATAACTCTTAGGTAAGAGCTATGTTGCTCAAGTTAGTGGTTGTTAAGGGAAATGAAACACCAAAAAGATATGACAAAAAATGGATTGAAGAAACATGGGATTGCAAATCAAAAAACTTACTACATTGTTATTGTCATACTACAAAAGTATGTATATAAATATTAAATGAATTATAGGGTTGGTTACAAATGTGAAATTTACTACAGGAGTACAGTGGTTTCCAGGGTACTGAGATACTGTTACATTTATAATGGTATCAGACAACAAAAATCACTAGCCATTTGTGGGAAATCAATAACATGTGAGAGATGCCCCAGATCAAACAAATATAAGAACTAGACATAAAACAATGGAGTTAATGTAAGAAACAGAAGAAACTTCAAAATAAATATTAGTGTGCTTAGATTTAGGAGGATATTATGCCTTTTGAACACAGACAAGCTGCCCTGAAAATAAGCAGTCAGTTATTTAATATTAAAACATAGAAAATAGGAAAAAATAGCAATAAAATGTAGATCCAGAAGAGTCATTTTTACATCTCAATAGGAGTTGCAGGAGGTAATAGAAATTGGAAGAGGAGAAATAACCACAGAGAACAGAAATCATGAGGGTAGGAGTACCCAGGCAGTGTCCTGGGCAGTAAAAGCCAAACAGAAAGGTGTATGAGTTAGGAGACAAAAGTACTAGCAAAAATAAATCAATCCTTCCATGTCTGGTTTGTTTCTTCATCTATACAGTGGGGATGATCAGGAAGTATACCCTTTCAGAGACCCTGTGGAAAGATGTGGCACAGATTCAAGGGTTCTGGCTGTGCTAGCAGCTCCTTTTCCCTGTTTTCTGCCTTTCACAACTCACAATAGATGCCAGCTTTCTCATTCCTACTTTATAATAGAATAGAACCAAAATATTTTCAAAGGAACAAAGGAAGAAAACATGGGAATGTCTCTTGAGTAGAAGTTTTTGAGTTTATGAATGGAAAGACATACTGAGAGTCTTAAAAGAATATTGATAGACATACCTAGATACATTCTGATGAAATTTTTATAAATATACAATCTCATAAGCTTCCAAAGAGAAGCATATAGTTACCTATAAAGGAGTGGAGATCAGACTTGCAATTAGATTTCTAATCAAGACATGGAATGTTAGATGACAATGGAGCAGTCATCTAACTAAAATGTGCTCATGGGACTCAGAATCTTATCCATAACTAAACTGTCATTTAAAGTGGAAGCAAAATTAAGTCATTTTCACACATACCCACTAGGAATACTTGAGGATGTGCTATATCAAATAAAAACTAATTGAAGAAAAATAGATGTGGAGTTCAAGAAAACAAAAAAAAGTGATCAAAGAAAACAGTAAAACTTATTTCTCAACTCCAAGGTATTTTTAACTATAGCTAAGGAATTTAATGCAATGCATTGCAAAGAAAAGGATTTATAAAACAGAGTAGGTATAGTTTTAAAGTCTATAATTTAAAAAAAGATTTATTCATTTGAGAGAGAGAGAGAGGGAGTGAAACATCAGTTTGTTGTTCCACTTATTTATGCATTCATTGGTTGTTTGCATATGGGGACACCGCTGTAATCGACTCAGCTACCCAGCCAGGGCCTGAAGTCTATAATTTGGAACAAACATTCAGTGTGATTTGAAGTTGGTTGGGAAGGCTTATCCTGTGCAAGGGAGAAGCTATACATACAAACCAATTACATGTTAGAATAAACTCTTTAAGGAACTCTTACCCAGTAGTTCCATTTCTGGGGATTTATCCTATAGATGAAATAATGTGTGGAAAGTCATGCATATATAAGGTTATTTATGCTGAAATGTGTAGTAGTGGCAATAGACTTGGAAGGATACACAAAAACTGGAGAGGGGAAATGTACCTCTGGAATAGAATGGAGAGGCTTCACTGTGTGCTCTTATATCATGTTTAACCTTTTAATCACATGTATTTATTTTCGAGACTTTTAGAAATATAAATAATTGGGGGGGGAGTGTAAAAAAAATGTAAGGATTTAGAGCATGGCTTACCAAATCTGGCTGGCCACTTATTTAATATGACCTGTGACCTAAAAGTGGTTTTTACATTTTAAGTGCTTTGGAAAAAAAGAGAGAAGAAGAATACTTTGTGCCATGAAAATGATATGAAGTCCAAATTTCAGTGTCCATTGGACTGCAGCTGTACTTATTCATTTACACATTGTCTATGGCTGCTTTTGTGCTGCAAGACAGAGTTGACTTGTTGTGATGTGTACTACTGTCTGACTCTTTACCTAAAATGTTTACTAGCCTCTGGTTAGAGAACAGAAGCAGACCTCTATATATACAGGAGTTTTGCTTATGGTAAAGGATATTACCAGTTAGTGCCTGACACACAATAGGTACTCAAAATATCTGTTGAATGAGGTACTGTTTTCTAGTGATCATACTTTTATTTCTAAATACTTAAAAACCATTGACTTACTGACATGTTAAAGAATTCATGTGTCATTTTTAATACTCATCAATTGCACAAGAAATAAAATCTAATTCCCTCCCTCACAAATTTTATGCTTAATGAGATTTTAGTTTATGAGATTTTTAGTTTAGTTTTTCTGATAGCGGTCATGTTTTCCAGATAATTTTGTGACTTTGTTTTTGTTGTGTAAAAAGGGAACTGAAAACTATACATTAGTTTTTGAAAACTTTAATGATAATTATATTATGCAGAAAATGTAGGAAAATTATCCAGAATATAACTTTAAAATAAGTAGATTCAAACGGATTATTTGTATTTTGCAGAAGGCAGTAGGTTACTCTTTTCGTAGAAGTTAGTTTGGCACAGTCCAGTGTAAGTATCCCGGAAACAATGTATGACATATGTAGTAGTAGGACCATAAAATTGTAGAATGAGAAAATTGAGTAGAAACTGCCTGTAGGTCATTTTATGAATTAACATTAACACTTTTCTGTTGTCTCAAAATCACAAGGGCAATAGAAAGATGTAACAAGACCTTCAGAATAATATGATTCTACTTTTGGGGAGTGGTGAGGGGCTTAGTTTTGTTTTCAAATCCAAACTTGTAGGCAACAAATATTCACACTTATTTTCTTAATGAACAAACTGAGGTTTTCTTACACATGCTTCTTTGGCACTGCTACTAAAACTGTATCTTTTTTTTTTATTTTTTAAACAACTTCATTGAAGTTTAATTAACATACAATGAATTACGCATATTTAAAGTATATAATATGATAATTTGAGCATATGTATACATTTGTGCATACATATGCACAAAAAATGATGGACATTATCAATCACTACCAAAAGCTTCTTTGTGGCCTTTTATAATTCCTTTTTGGTATACTACCTCTTATACCCTACCTCGCCCT